TTCGAGGTAGTCTTCATATTCTCTGGCTAGCGTACTGTAGGATCATCCTGTATTTGGAACAGAATATGCTCCACAGAAGCATTGAGCGACGTGAAGGCTTATCGCTCTCTCAGAGGTGAGGGACCAAGGCGGTCCTTGACAGAAATTCTCTTTGTCCTATTCCTTTTGTTCTCCTTTTACCACATGTCCTCATGGGTGTCCTTCCTTTTCTCTCCTCCTCGGGAGGACTCACCTCTACGGACTTTAGTGACGTCCTCGGTGTTCATGTATTTCTGTGCCCTAGACAGCAGCTCAGGCATACTGGATGACAGCTTCTTAAGAATGGAGAACATAAAGCTGGAGGTGTGGAGGCTGACGATAAAGGAGACTAGTGCTACCTTGTCATCTGGCTTCTTAATTTGGAGAGCCACCTAATTTAAACAGGTAAGGTAGTCTTTGAGACTTTCGTCCCTGTCCTGCTTGATGGTGAGCAAGTGGGTCACAAGTTTTTGATGTCGGCGTCCCCCAATAAAGTGGGAGACGAAGGACCTACTCAGTTCTGTGAAGGAGTGAATGGAGGAGGGTCTGATCTTTGTGAACCATTGGCGAGTAAACCCTTTCAGGGTGGTAGGGAAAACTTTATACATAATCTCCTCAGGCACATTGTGGAGTTGCATGAGGGACTTATATGTATCAAGATAGTCGATGGGTCTTTGGTACCATCGAAAATCTTGATGGTGGGCATCTTGAACTTCGAGAGTAAAAGATAATTGACGATATCAGCAACAAAAGGTGTATCGGTACGTCTTACTAGGTAGTCCACAGTTTCAGGTGCCTGTGCTTTGATGGCGTTGAGGGTATCACTAAGTTGGTTTTTCACCTCTCTAATCTTCTCATCCCACTGATTGGAGACATCCTCAGTCGGGTGATGATACTGACTTTTCATAGTCACCATATTGGCGTTCTTCGTCTTCATTCTCCTGCGCAAGTACGCGTAAAGGGGAACGTGTGAGCTCCCTAGGTGCTGAGGAGGGACTGCTGGGCGAGTGGCACCCTAGCGTGGTCCTGGGGCATTCTGGTGAGGAGCCCTATGGTGGGGGGCTGACTGACACCAAGAAGGGATGGGCTGCTGTTCCTCTCTTGTTGGAGGGAGCAAGGCTCCTCCTATAGGGTGAGGGGCGACACCTTTTTGGGTGAGCATCAGCTGTATGATTTGCTAATTTTGATTTACTAGCAGTTGCTTGGTTTGTAAGAGTTGTTGCCCGGCGATGGGAGTCGCAGTAGTGGATGGCTCCGAGGGTGCGAGGGGAAGTAGAGCCTCTTCCTGGGGGGCCAGGTTATTGTCTCTTGGTTGTTGACTCATCGACCTAGTTGTGATTGTCATAGATTAAAGGAGAGTAAAAATTTAGTCGTTTTTCACAAACGGTACCAAACTGATAATGCACAAATCGACTTTGCGAAAAATCAACAGTCAAGTATATCAAGAGACATAATTAATGAACAATAAATAGGCAATCAATGACAAAATTGTAAATAACGAATCAACACCAAGATTTATAGTGGTTCGGTCTGGGTGACCTACTCCACTCTCAGGAACGAAAAACGGTGGCCGGAGATCTTTATTGATGAATAAAAGCCATCGAAAAAGTATACTCCATGAGAATTACAGTGCTTTGGGAGAGACAAAGACTTGGTGTGTAGAGAGGTCTCCAAGGTCATGCCCTTTATGTGAAGAGGGCTTACATTATATAGGTTTGGTGAGGTGGTCACTACTTTTTAGTAAGTACAGTTATGGTAGAATTAGATCTCCATGTGTATCCCGATATTTTCTCCTCGTGCTCCTATTCAGCCGAAAGAGGATCTTGGGCTTGGACTTGGTTGGTGGGTGCTGGACAAGAGTCAAAAGGGCGATGAACTCCACGAGGTTGCACAGGAGAGGGAGCATAAGACAGAGAAGGGAAGGGATCCTCTTGGGGTGGCCCCCTTGGGCGGCGCCCTTTGGGGTGTTCCTTGAAGGTGTCCCACTTAGACTCCTCATTGACTTTGAGTTCTCTTAACTTTGGCTCCTCCTTGACTTATTGACTTGAGTTTCGAGATAACGTGGGCCTTTCTTGATTCATTAAGCCTAACCTAGTTAATTTCGACTTCATCAATATTATATATATATATATATATATACTATGAGTTAAAATTCATATAACCTACACATCCCAAATCTCAAATATTGAGTCAAACATGGGATATAAAGATCAAAGGTAGTGGGTCAACTTTACCTGTTGGACAAGGCAACAATAGCAGCAACGCACAACATACAAAAGAAACCCATTTTACTCCGGAGATTAGGGATCGTAGTTAAGGCGAGTTGGCTGAGTCCTGCAATCACGGGAAAAAAGGTGTCGGGCCGTCTATTAATTGTTTCTTTCATAATGGTCCGGGAAAGTAATTGAGTGTCCCCAATAATGTTTGCTCAAAGTGAAAAAGTGAATTTTCATGTGCACTGCTCTTGATGTCTTTTTGCTTTTCACTGGTCAAAGCTACTGGGTGTGCTCTACAAACGTATAGTATAGGCAGTAAAGCATCATTCTCATTTCTCACCAACCTCATCCTAAAAGAGCAAAAAAATATTTATTGTAACAATGATATTACATTAATATTATTACGTGATATTATTAATTAATAATATATAAATAAATTTTATCTAAGTCAGTAACTAGTCAAATGTGTTCACTTTATCCATTATTAATATTGACATGATATTACCATTATATTAACTATTTTATCCTAAAAGAAAAACTCAGGATTATTTTATTTGCGCTTTAAAAAATAGTATCTGAAAACAGTTTTTGAGAAGAGTTTAAAAAAGTAATTTTAATATTTTTTTAAATAAAAAACTTGTTTGGTTAGATGATTTCAAAAATAATTTTACAATACAAAAAATAGTAAAACTTGTTTGGACAATTTAAATATTTATTTAAACAGTAATTCAAATATTAATAAAAAATTTATTTTTATGTTGATCATATATATATATATATATATATATATATATATATATATATATACAAGTATGTATTTATATAAATACGTATATATATTCATCTCTGAACATCCAAAATTATTCTCCTTGTTTCTAAAATTTTCAAAAAAAAACTCTGAAAACAAGCTACACTTGTTTTTTGCTTCTTTGACTCAAATCTCATTTTTTTTTTCAAAATTTAGAAAATAAAAATGCTAAACAAACATGTTTTAAGTGTTTTCAAAATTTTGACAAAAAAAAACAGTTTTAGAAAACTAAACCAAATATGATCTTAATTTCTTCTTGTTTTCGAGGTTTCCCAATGCGAATGGAAAGTTCTCAATTCAACCCGGGGGGGGGGGGGGGGGAATTAGACAACGTCAAATCGCCAAGTTAAAAGATAAAAGAATAATTTTCAATTTAAACATCTTTATCTATTGCTCGAACTTGTTCACATAACCAACAAAAAAGGTTCACTAGATTATTGATCTAATAAGTATGTGCCAATCTTTAATTATTATTTTTTGTATCTATTTAACACTCTAACTTTCCATTTACATGCATAGATGGTCTAACGATGTGAAGTGAACTTATAATTAGATATTTGTGTTGGCGAATGTGAAGGTATCCGGGGTTTACTTTATATTGAGTAGGTCCAATGTGACCGCACTGATCACTTGTTTTTTTTTTTAAAGTGTATTTGTTTTGAGATAAGTCCTGTAAAAAAACTTATAAGGGACTAAATCCATGTTTAAAATTATATGTAATGACTTAAGTCTACTATTTTTTTTTTCTCAAAAATACCCTTCTTTAAAAGAAAGTTAATCTTTTCTCTCTCATATCTATTTATATTCATATATATATTAAAAATTTGACTAACATTAAAATTTTTCTTCCTCATATATATATAAAATTCAAATTCATGTTACTATTTTTTTTATTATATTACTGTTCATGTTACTGTTTTTGTTGAGTATATTACTGTTCATATTATTATTATTTTTGAGCATGTTATTATTTTTGTTGAGCATGCTATTATTATTATTTTTTTAAATATTAATATTCAATATTACTATTTCTTTTTTTAAAGTTACTATTTTTTGTATTTGAATGGTACTAATTTTTGCATTTGAATTTGAGAGAAATAATTATTGTTAAGTATGTTATAGTTTTTGTTAAACATGTTATTATTTTTATTGAACATGTTAATTTTTTTTTGAACATATTACTGTTGTTATTTTTTAAAAATATTAATATTGAATGTTTAAATTTTTTTATATTAATGTTACTATTTTTTTGTGTTTAAATGTATTATTTTTTGTGTCCAAATGATAATTTTTTTTTGTATTTGAATGTTACTATTTTTTATTTTTAATATTACTATATATATAGATAAGAGTGAGAGAAAAATTTTTAATATTAATCAAACTTTTAGCCTATATAGATATAAAAGAGAAAAAATTTTAATGTTAGTCAAACTTTTAAGATTTAAGAGTTTTTAATTTTTAGTTTTATTTCACTTCCAAAGGAAATGGATAGTATGATAAAATTGATAAAAATTGGACTTTATAACAAATAAACTTTTTTGACAGACTTAATTTCAAACAAGTTCATATAGGGAGACCGGTCTTCAAATTTTCCTAAAAAAAAATACCACAAAAACATTTAAAGACTAAATTGAGAATTGCATAATACTTTAAGGGTGGCAAATATAATTACTCAAAATGGAAAGATGAAACAGAGCATTACTATAAAAAGATTGCCTAAAATTTGGAAATAAGCATTCACAAAAGAGAAAGAAGGTACCACACTACTCTGCACTTTTTCCCTCCGCTCTCTCTTTACACACTGCTCAGTGATTGCACTCTCTCGCTCTCTCTCTGAAGTGAAAAGTGCTGTGTATCTGTACACACTGCAATTTTTTTTTGCATGGTCCCTCCTAACAAACCCAACACCATCATTACCATCATCGCATCCCCTTTATATCTTCTTCATAGTGAGTAAAGCAATTTGTCAGTTCGCCTTCAAGAAGAGCTCAAATTTCGGAGCCTGAATTTCATGCCATTCCATTCTCCGAAGCTTTTGGAAACTTGAAAAATGGCGGAAACCTCAGAATCAGCAGTGCCCCAAGCCGAAACAACCACTGAAGTTTGTGAAGAGTCGAGGAAGATTAACCCTAGAGTCGAAATCGACACGTCTCCGCCGTTCGAGTCGGTTAAGGAGGCTGTGACCCGTTTTGGTGGCAGCGGTCCCTGGATCCCCCTTCACCTGCTCCGACTAGCTGCTGATGTGAGTTTTCTCTTTATTTTTTTGTCATCTTAATTCAAATGACGAGGGTGGAACCCGCAACTCGCCACGTTAATTCAATTATTTACTATCTTCAATTTTAATGTCTTGGCTGCACATGAAAACTGTGTGTTAGCTTCTACATATCTTCATTTTTAAGTGCAAAATCTAGATGCTTTGTCTTTGGATTTCTTAAAACTCCTCTAGACTAGACTTCTGGGTCTTTCGGCCAATTCTCTCCCGATATGTATGGAGCATGCTCATTGTTTTTGTGTGGGATTATTTTGTTTTTTTTTTTTTTTTGTTAAACTATTTATATTAACATAAGTTAGCTTTTAGATGAGTTGATAATATAAGACCATAGGCCCCACCTCGTCTCACTGTTCCGGGAGTTTCCCCCCCCTCCCCCAAAAAAAGAAGGAACCTTCCCTCTTTCCGGTCGTTTCTGTCGTTTCGGGTTAAGAAGATATGAAAGCACATTTTTCTCCCTAAGAAGTTTTGAAGTGTGAAGTGGAAGAGAAAGAATGTCCTAATTGGAATTTTGAATAAAATGATATATTATAATCCTTCTCTAAATATGCAACATAGAGCAAGAGGGGGTACATGTGAGTCATTTGTTACAATAAATATTATGGGTTCGGCCTATTTAACATTTTGATGTATACTACCTTGGAATAGATGTTTAAATAAGGATAAGAAGCAGATTTACCCATGTGTCCTTCGGATGGAACAAGGTTACATGATGCTACTACTATGGTAATAAATTTGGTACATTGAGCACCAAAGCTATCACCCCTTCTCAATAAGTGAACTTATATTTCTATTTGCATGAGAGAGGTAGCTTGACTGTTTCATAAAACAACTCGATTCAGATTGACTCGTCTAAACTTTTTATTATATAGATGCAGTTCATTTTGCTTTTGTATAAGATGTGGCGGCTTTGACTGTAATGACAGTAGGGACCTTCAATTTATATTTCTTGTATTTGCTCGAATTTGGTTTGGATTAGAAATTTAAAAGCAGGACCTTCTGTGTAATCTCGATAATGTCACACTCACAGGTATATATTTTTCTTCTACTTCTTCTCTATTTGTAGCTACCAATGACTTAGAAGGTTTCATGTTCTCCAAGCAAATATGGAGGGCAAATTGAAAAATGATAGATGCTACTCTCTGTCCCTACCCTGGGCTATGTCATTAGAGAAATGATTTTAAGGGGTTTTCTAGGAGACCTTGCTTGCCTGTCATTCATTCATACCCCAATTGATGGTTAATTGTACAACTGTTATAGTAATGCATTGATTGTGAAGTATGGGCACGTTTTATCATCCATTTTCTTGTAATTTCTGTTTAATTTACGAGTAGTTTTTTAATTATCAGCAGCATGCTTCTGGAGAGTTTGACAGTGACAAGCTGGAGGAGCAAGCAGCACAGTTGGAAAAGGATCTAATTGTGAAAGAACAGGAAACACTTGATGTCTTAAAGGAA